GGCACCAAATATCGTATCAGCTGAGGCAAACATCTGGTTCAGGGACTAGCAAGGCATTTCCTTCCTAAAAGGGCTTTGCTGTTAGATGGCATCTTTATTGTCATTACAAAAAAGGACCAAGGTACTCACCTTCTCCATCCATATAGTTTTTAAAGACTAAGTAATAATAATAATTGCAGATAATACTTACCTAGTTCTTACTATATATCAGGCATTGTTCTAAGTGCTTTAGAAGTATTAGCTCATTTCATCTCCTCAAAAACTTCGTATGTAGTTACTATTATTATCTCTGCTTTCTAGATAAGTAAATGGGTTACATTACCCAAAGTCAGGAGGCAGAGCTAAGAATGAAGGCAGTCTGGGTCAGGGGGCCATGCTCTTCACCGTCATACTAGGCTGCCCCCCCGGACCTGGCAGTCGTGCACAGGATGGTGAACAGTAGAGAGGAGAGGAGCGGAAATGGGGGCTACTTAGCTTAGTACCAACAAGTTCAGGCATATGGTGCTCAGGACCTGTACAATGCAGCGAAGTGGAAAAAAAAAAAAAAGAAAGAAAAGGAAAGAACAAGGGATGGTGATTACAAGTGGGCACAAGGGAGGATTCTGGAGAACTAGCCTGTTCTTTGATTTGGGTGCTAGTTATATGGGTGTGCTCAGTTTGTGAAAAGTCATCAAGCTGTACTTTTTATATACATATTTTCATGAAGAAAAAATTAAAGGACCAGGGGTGCCTGGGTGGCTCAGTTGGTTAAGCATCTGCCTTCAGCTCAGGTCATGATCCTGGAGTCCTGGGAGAGAGCTCAGCATTGGGCTTCCTGCTCTGCAGGGAGCCTGCTTCTCTCTCCTCCTGCTCTTGCCCTCTCACTCACTTGTGCTCTCTCTCTCAAATAAATAAATAATAAAGTCTTTTTTAAAAGGATTTTGGTAATATTACGAATGGCTTCTGCCCCCTTTATTTTCCAAATGTTCCTGAGTGACTGAGTGAGACATGATGGAGCTCACAGGCCATATGAAGCAGTGGAGTCATCCATATGGAGGATTCTCCAAACCCACTGTCCGGCCTGAGACAGCCAGCAGCCCAGATATTGGTGAGCTATAGGCAACGTAGCATCATGGTTAGGAGAACGGCAGAAAGAACTAACTTGCCTGGTTCAAATCTTGCTTTGCACGTCCTAGATGTGTGATCTGGGACATGTGATGCTTCAACTTTCCATACTGACTTGCTCTCTGCAACTGTAAAGCCGGCATAACATGGTGTCTAACTCATAGGGCTTTGCTATATATTAAATGAGCACTTGTGATTGTGGCTGGAGCATGGAACACACTACTAAACGTGAGCCCTTGTCTTCACCATTTAGGCCCACAGCCATGGCCTCCTCTCTTGTATCAGTTACCATATACTTTTTAAAATCATTTTCCCAGGGCACCTGGGTGGCTCAGTCAGTTAAGCGTCTGCCTTCGGCTCAGGTCATGATCCCAGGGTCCTGGGATTGAGTCCCATGTCAGGCTCCCTGCTCAGTGGGGAGCCTGCTTCTCTCTCTCCCTCTGCCTGCCGCTCTGCCTACTTGTGCTCTCTATCTCTCTGTCAAATAAATGAAATCTTTAAAATAAATAAATAAATAAAACCATTTCCCCATTATTTATTAATAATTTATTGTTCCTGTTCCAAAAAGCATTATAAATATAATATATATCATACATTAATAAAATATAATAAATTAATAATTTATTGTGCCCTGTTCCAAAAAGCATTTCAGGTAGATTTATTTTAGCTATTACTTAAATAGTATGATCATATTACAGAAAATCTGGAAAACAGAAAACCAAGTAGTATACTTTCAGGAGGGTAGCCATCCTCCTGAAGGCGTGCATTGCCTGACGTGATCTGAAGGCACATTAAAGGCACCATAGACGGGGCCATTGGTGCAGAAGGGACTGTGGAGATAGCCGGCCAGGCTACACTCAAGAAATAGCCACGACTTTTTATTTAAAAAAATTTCAGTCACATAGAAAAGTTAGAAGGTTGGTACAAAAATACCCATATGCCCTTCACCTAGATTCACCAGAATTGTTAACATTTTGCCACATTTGCTTTCTCTTCTCTCTTCTCTCCACACACTTTATTTTTTTGCCTAATCATTTGAAAATTAAGTTGCAGAAATCATGTCATTTTATTCATAAACACTTCAGCTTTTATCTCCTAAGAACAAGCACCTTATCCTATATAACCATTACATCATATTGCACCCAAGGAATTTCAGTTGTACAGTCCTATTGTCTAATATACAATCTATATATTTTTTCCAATTGCCCTAAAAATGACCTTTTTTTTTTCCAACTCAGGATCCAATCAAGGATCACAAGTGCATTTAAACTGTCATGTGGGGCGCCTGGGTGGCTCAGTTGGTTAAGCGACTGCCTTCGGCTCAGGTCATGATCCTGGAGTCCCGGGATCGAGTCCCGCATCGGGCTCCCTGCTCAACAGGGAGTCTGCTTCTCCCCCTGACCCTCTTCCCTCTCGTGCTCTCTATCTCTCATTCTCTCTCTTTCAAATAAATAAATAAAATAAAATAAAAAGCTTTAAAAAAAAAAAAACTGTCATGTGTTCTGTAATCTAGTAGAGCCCATGCCCCTTGCCCTTGCAGATCTTTCACAGCATTGACATTTTTGAAGAGTCCAGAAAGTTTTCTTATAAAATGTCCTACCATCTAGATTTGTTTGACTGTTTGCTCATGATTCAATGCAGGTGAAACATTTTTGGAAAAGTGCTACCCAGTTGATGTGTTATACTGCATACTGCCACACATAGTAATAAGTTGTCCCATTACTGGTGTTGCTATGTTTGATCATTTGGTTAAGGTGATGTCCACCCAAATCCTGTCATTGTAATGGAATTTTTCTCAGTAACAAATAAGTAATCTGTGGAGGGGTTTGAGTCCCTCTGAACATCTTATCTTGTTACCTGACAATCTTTTTAACCAATGGTTTCAGCATATGTTGATAATCTGCCTGAATCGATGATCACATTTGTGGTGCAAAACAGTCACTAGTGATGTTTACTGTGTGGGTGAAATGAACTGCTGCAAGTTAAATCTTATTTTTCCACTTACTTGCACTATTACTTCAGAACTTTAATATCAGAACTATTTCAGAAGCTCATCTGCTTGACTCCTCCTGACAGTGATTCATAACACCTGTTTTCACATTTCTCTGATCTCTATCCATCTGAGCAAGTACATTAAGTGGAAACAAACATATAAATGCACTGGCTTAAGCAGTGGGCTAGGAGTTACCTATCTATACAAGCAAGAGGTTGGCTAGTCTTTATAGCCCCCTTTCCTACAGCAGATCAAATTCTCCATCAAGAAAAGTCTGTTTTTCCAAAGACAGTTCTTTATCAGAGTCAGCTTCAGGCATCCCAAGAAGGGAAAGAGGGAAGACACAAAGGGTTCAGGCAAGAGACTCCTGGCACAATTTTAAAAAATTCTGCAAACCACATTAGGACAGTACAGTACCAAATCCCACGGGCCACTGCTTCAGGCAGCCTGCTTCCCCTGCCCCTGTGAACAGGACTTCTTCCTGGTCAACAATCCTTTAGAACACAAACATCATCTCCAGACCAACTGCCTTAGAATCCCGGGGAAGCTGATTAAGAAACAGATGCCTCTGTCTCACCTCTGACCAAATGAATCACAGCCATGCAGGGGGGTTGGGACAAACTCCCTAGAGGATCTCATGAGCAGCGAGGTTTGGGAACCCTTGCTTAGAAAGGACCCACTGTAGTCTCCCAAAGGGGACTACTCCATAGAACACAAAATGGTAGATAGTAGTTAAGGATCACTCCCATTATGTGATAGCCACCCTGCCAACAACTGACCCCAGGGCTCCAGAATGAGGACAAATGAGTTCAACCTAGAGAATCTATTGCACCCCCAATTTATAACCCACTTGAAGGCTGAGGAAAGAAAGTCACTGTCAGATCTATGGTTCCTCAAATTTAGTCTCTACCAGAAGCATCTGGGAACAACACCCCTAAAAGATTCTGAGTCAGAGGTCTCCTGTGGGGCCCAGGAATGTGGACTTATAACAAGCTCTCCAGGAGCTTCTGACGCAGGGGATCCACATTCATTTATGGCAGTCAAAGAGCAAAAGAGTTGGATAAAACTGTCTTGGCCTTCATCTGAAGGCTACTTAGCAAACCAAAAAAACAAAATCTGAGGCTATGTGGGAAATGTTTCTGAGTAATTAATTAGCCACACAGAAACATCCAGATGATATGAAACCTTCCACAAAAGGTTTTAAATTTTGCTCTAACATTTTCTCCCACTGGAGGACCATAGGCAGGATGAGCTAAGAGCCGGAGACCAAGGTCCCAACACAAAGTCCCCACTTCGGTTGCCATGTTAGCAGTCTCCAGAGGGGCACCAGGAGCACAGACCATCCCCTGGAGGCCACTTGAATCACATGAATCAAATTTTTCTGACTGTCAAGGTCCTGCCTGATTCCAGCTTCCCCCTCACACTGTGAGGGATCAAACTCCCAGCAATTTTTTCTCTCTCTCTCTGCCACACCCAAGGCTTAACCAAGATTAACACATGCACTTGGGACCCCAGAAATAGAGATGGCTAGGCCACTGGCAGCAGGGAGCAAGGACCATACTAATTATGGGAAATGGGACAGACAGAGCTGATGAGCTCCATGCTGAGTTGGCCTTTGGCTCGCGGGGAATCTGAAATATGGCTGGCAGTCTGCAGCAAGGGCTGAGGGTGTCAGAACAGTGGCTGTTCGAGGTCACAGTGGCATAACCTTCTCTTCCCTGGCCCAGGTAGATTCCCACCCAGAAAACATCAAGCAGAACAAGTCACTGTCATGGTACAAATGGGGTACAGTACTCCCAGGAAAGGTCACTCCACAGCTATCAAAATATGCCTATGAGTTCCCAAAGCCAACCAGGCTCATGGCATAAGGACCCCCGCGCCAGCCAGCTCTTGGCATTCTTACCTGACTGGAACACGTATCTGGCCAAGCCCTGCATTAGCTCTGCTGGCCAGGTTGGGGGGGCAGACTCCCCTGTTTCTCTCTTCAGACGAAATGTCAATTCAAAGCCAAAACCACTAGGCCCGTCTGTTCCTGTAAATCTGGAAGGAATAAAAAACAAATGTTTTTAGTTCAACTACCTTAGGAAAACACTGCTTTTAAAGTCCAATTAAAGTTCTCCCCTATTTTTGGTGGCCTCAGCATCCAAAACCCTTAATCAGAAGAATCTCTCTCAATAGCCTATAAGGAGCCACAATACTAGTCTTGCGCTCCTGCCAGCCACGATACATGGGTATGACCTTGGCCCAGCCAATCAAATTCCCCTGGTGGCACTCTAAATTATGAGTTCCACATTTTGTGGCTCTGGAACATTCCTCTGGGTGATTAAGGTTCCATTACTGAAAATCTTCCTTATTCACACTCCTTATTCCTTCAAGCTGTTAATAAGCACCTACTTAGTTTGCCGCAAGTCCTGTTGTATGCTCTGTGAGGACTAGACCCTTTCTCCACTCCCACCTTCACCCTGCCCCACAAGAGTACAATCCTTGGGCTGGGCTGGCTGGTCTCCAAACTCAGCATTTGTGGACAGGTCCCAAGGCAGATTCCAAATACTGGGAGGGCCTGTATTCTTCCTGAAACCCGGCATCCTACACGTGCTCATCAATTGGCATGTGCTCTTCCTGAAACTTGGTGACCCATGGGTACTCTTCAATCACTGGAACGCTAGGGAAGCACAGATTTGTGCCCCCTTCTCACCCCAGGTGGCCAAGAATGATGACAGTTACTGCCCCTATGGCCACACTCATCATGGTGATGATGAGGCGAGGGAGGAATGCCTGCCTCTGACCACTAGGAAACACTCAGGTGCTCCCAGTCTTCAGGGAAGTCCCTGAAATGGACTATGGACTTCTGCCAGAGAGGAAAATGATGTGGATGAGAAAGCAAGTGCTGGGTGGGGGGGTGACATGCCCCCTTATGGGAGGGAAGCATCCAGGGAGGATTTCCTGAGAGCTCAGGAGGTTTGCCAGCATGGGAAGGGTTAAAAGTTAAAATATGTTCATGATATAATTTTCAGTAATTATATCTTGTACAAACATGAGCCACAATGATTATACACATGTAAACTCCTCAGCATACAAATACAAATCATAAACTAAGATGACAGCCAACACCTCCTTGCCAAGCTCCCAGAACAGGGAGTCAGAGGTGAGAGTTTCGAAGGGATGATGATGCCCAACCCTGAAATTCCACATGGCATCTTTCCTTCATCATGCTCCTCATCACCCTTAAGAGGCCAGGCCAGGAGATTGGACAGAAAAAGATTCCAAAGTCTCTGAACCTCAGACATCGGTCCTAATCTTGCCTGTGTGCCTGGGTGAGCTCAGCCCTCCTGTACTTACTGCAGTGGAGAGATAACCTCTGAGAAGCTACGTTCTCCAAAGGACTGAAAACGAATAAAGTCATCATGCTGGTGCCTAATTATATTTAAAGGAGGTGTCTATGGTTTGCATTTCCTCTAGGTATCTAGCAATGTGGGAGGCAGAATCCATTTTTGAGGGTATACAACTAGAATTTCAGAGACCAGATGAGAAGAAGTTGTTTGGCAAGACACAGTGTAAGCTATTTTCTTCCCTTACTGAACTGTCATACTGGGGGGCAATTCAATGCAGGGGGGCTGAGGGAATAGCTAAGCCAGCTGAGGCCAGAAGAGCCACCTCCCCGGGGCTGCAGGCTTGAGAGGAGTGTGAAAATCCGAGGTAATGCAACACTGACTCAGAGTTAAAACTCCATCGAAGGAGATGGGTCACTAGGCCAAAGGGAAGATTTCAAGCAGCCTCCAATTAGAAGCAGCTTTGTAAAATGTATTAGACCATTATCCAGGGCTTTCATCTCGGGCCAAGAAAAATACATGATTTCTAACCACAAAAACTTGAGAAACAGACAAAAAGAACATATTCCTCAAATTGCGCGATGGGGAGAACTGTCAGATGCAGAGAGAAATCATATGTAACCAAGCAGCACCGCTGCTCTAAGGAGGCTGTGCACAAACACACATGCATGTATGAGTGTGCATACGCGCACGTGCACATGTCCACCATCTGCCTCCATGCGGGGTACTTTCTGGGCCAGCTCTGTGGTGGGCAGGCCAGCCCTCACTGGGTTAGCTGGGAGGGACAGGCCCGGCCAGATGGTGTCCACCTGCATTTGATTACCACCCACCATGCTGGCTGGACGCAACCTCTAAACTCTGAAACATGCGTTTGGAATGGCCCAGCCTCAGGATAAACACACAACCTGGAGCCTGTCAGAAGGTCTCTTTTTCAAAGCAGACTACCCAGGCAACAGCCAAGGGACAAGGTCATTCAGTCTTTCAAGTCCCTGGAGGGCCTGGCTTGGTCTGGACTTCCTCACGTGAGGGCTTCTCCAGCCGCAGAGGTTTTGTCTGACCAGAGGTTGAAGCCCCTCCTAGGGGGCAGCTGTCTCCCACACCCTCTGAGAAAGAAAAGCACAAGGGGAAACTGGCATGTGCTGCAGAAGGAGGGAGGTGGGTCAGAGCAAAGAATTTTTCTAACACAGAAGGCTGCTAAAACACCAGCCGGTAGTAAAGGAGGCCAGTGGAATTTCTTCCTACGGAGATTTTAAAGGAATACATTACAGATTCTCCCCAATCTGGCAGGGAGGAGGTGAGGTGTTCTTATCTTGTCTTGTTGCAAGGATGGGTGAGACTGTTTCCAGCTCAAGAACTTCTAATCCTGCTCACTGAGGTACCCAGGGGAGAGGATGGCTTTGTCCCAGCAGTTTGGCAAGCCTAGGGACGGATGTGGCAGCATCCAGAATAATATCAAACCTGCGCACAGAAAGAACCCGTGCCTTTCATCTCAGATGTAGTTGCCTGGAACCTGCCCAAAAGCCTGCCCCAAGCACTGGACTAAGAAGGTATCAATCAGCATCCAAGAGGCCAAAATGACCACTAACACCAGGCAGAGATGAATGGGAACCCAGGAGAGACTTTCTGGTGGGAACACAACAGTTCAGGTGGGCAGAAAAGATGATCTAAAAGTTGGCATCTCATGCTCAACACCATTAGTTAATAGGGGAGCTCAAATCAAAACCACAGTGAGGTACCACTTCATCCCCCTTAGGATGGCTAAAATAAAAGACAATAACAAGTGCTGATGAGTATGTGGAGAAATTGCAATTCTCACACACTGCAGGTGGGAGTGTCAAATGGCAGAGCTGCTTTGTAAAATAGTCTGGCAGTTCCTCAGAGTTAAACATAGAGTTACCACATGACCCAACAGTTCCACTCCTAGGTGTACACCCAAAAGAACTGAAAATATATGTTTATACAAAAACTTGTACACTGGGGCGCCTGGGTGGCTGAGTCAGTTAAGCGTCTGCCTTCAGCTCAGGTCATGATCTCAGGGTCCTGGGATTGGGCCCTGAGTCAGGCTCCACACTCAGCAGGAGAGTCTGCTTGTCCTTCTGCCCCTCCCCCTGCTCATGCTCTCTCTCTCAAATAAATAAAATCTTAAAAAAAACACCAAAAAAACCTTTTACATTAATATTCATAGTAGCATTATTCATAATAGCCAAAAAGTGGAAGCAACCCAATGTCATCAATGGATGAGTGGACAAACAAAATGTAGTACATCCATACAATGGAATAAAGAATGATACACTAAAAAAAAAAAAAAGAAAGAATGATACACTGATACAACATGGATGAACCCTGAAAACATTGTGCTAAGTGAATAAAGCCAGATACAAAAGGCCATATAATGTATGATTCCATTTATACAACATGTCTGGAATAAACAAATCCAGAGACAGAAAGTAGATTAGTGGTTGCCAGGGGCTAGGGGGAGTTTAGGGGGAGTGACTACTAATGGGCACAGTTTCTTTTTGGGGTGATGGAAATGATGTTCTGGAATTAAATAGTGATGATGGTTGTACAACCTTATGAATATTCTGAAAAACACTGAATTGTATACTTTAAAAAGGTAAATTTCATGGTATGTGGGGCGCCTGGGTGGCTCAGTTGGTTAAGCGACTGCCTTCGGCTCAGGTCATGATCCTGGAGTCCCGGGATCGAGTCCCGCATCGGGCTCCCTGCTCGGCAGGGAGTCTGCTTCTCCCTCTGACCCTCTTCCCTCTTGTGCTCTCTGTCTATCATTCTCTCCTTCTCAAATAAATAAATAAAATCTTAAAAAATAAATAAATAAATTTCATGGTATGTGAATTGTATATATATATAAAAAAAAGGTATCTTAGGTACACCTCAGTGCTAGGGGGAGCAAGGCCAACCACACCACGTAAGCCAGGTCTTTGTCTGACTCTACTGCTATGATTAACTGAATGCCTATTAAGTTTTAGGCCTTGGACTAAGTACTTATGTCACAGCATTTAATTCTCCAACAAGACTCAGCCACTGTTATCTTCATTTAACTAACATGAGAAAAAGACACTAAAGAGAGTTTAAGTAATAATCCCTATGTCACACAGCAAGCAAGAGACAGAACTTGGACTTGAAGTCTGCCTGACTCCAAAGTCCATCTTCTTACCGCCATGTGACCTCAGGCAAGACATTTAACCTCTCTGTGCCCCAGTTTCCTCATCCATAAAATGGGGATAATAACAAAACAGTAACTATTTCAGAGTTGTGAGGATTAAATGTTAGAAACTGCCTGGAACACTATAAGCATTGTATCACTTACACTAAGTAAAAGAAGCCAGTCACGAAAGACCATGTATTGTATGATTCCACTGATATGACATGATAAATAATATAACTTGTTTTTTGGGTTTTTTTTTTAAGATTTTATTTATTCATTTGAGAGACAGCACGAGCAGGGGTCGGGAGGGGCAGAAGGAGAGGAAGAAGCAGACTCCCCGCTGAGCAGGGAGCTCAACACTGGCTTGATCCCAGGACCCCAAGGATCATGACCTGAGCGGAAGACAGATGTTTAACCGGCTGAGCCACCCAGGTGCCCCATATAACTTGTAATATATAATACAAATTATGTGTATATCATATAAAATGTCCATAGTAGGCAAATCTGTAGAGACAGAAAGCAGACTGGTGACTATGTAGGTCTGA